TATAGAAGCATATTATATCAGACTCAAACCTAGTAAGCCATACATATTTAAATTACTAGATAAGAAAATTCAATCTATTATGTTGGTCTGAAAGGTTATACATATCATACTAACCATTAGCAGTTAGAAAAGTAATCTATGTATGAAACCTATATGGCATAATAAATACTTTTGAAAATGGATGGTTTTCCATCTCACATCTCTCTCTCAATTCTACCATAGCCATGGACGCCCCAATCAGTCACGTACGAATTGCGTATAATCCAATACTTGGATCCATCATTCTCCTCCCCATAGCCCATAATTAGAACAACATGTCCGCTAGTGCTCTGGTCGTTCTTGCTTGAACTATTGAATTCAATAATGATAATGGAAGTTTTACATACGAGAAATTCAATACACATCTTGGAACAACTCTCTCTCTATTCCAAAATGTCTGGATCCTTTCATTAATTTCTGCAAGCTTAGTGTTATGGAAGCCAAACCTTCAAACAAATATACAAATACAAAGATAACTAATGCAATTGGATACAAAAACAAGTCGGGCCTTGAGGTTCAAGTTAGTCTGAGAATTTAAGCGCGTTTACCCATAAAATTCTGCAATTAAGCGCGTTTGTGGTAAGAAATCCCAAGGATAGGTTCTTTGACTGGGCCCAAAAATGAAGAACCCGAAAGTTTCCGAGTTTTTTTATAGTTCTAGCCAAAACTCGACCAAACTGAACCCGTTTTTGTGCAGTTCTAGTGCTAGCAGGTCAGGCCAAATTAAGAATTTAGAACCTGAATCAAAGGGTGGTGCTGATCCCTCATAGAACTAACAATTACCTCCAACACCAACCCTGGGAGATTGAAACGTGAGACATCGCTCTGATACCACTTGTAACATCAATTTCCCCTTTTTAGAAGGTGTGCTTCAATATGACTTCTATTTACCCATAAAACTCTGCAATTAACGTTATTGGGGACCTTCTAGAAAGGGGCAAATTGATGTTACAAGTGGTATCAGAGCAATGTCGCACGTTTCAATCTCCAAGGGTTGGTGCTGGAGGTGATTGTTAGTTCTATGGGGAATCGACACCACCCTTTGATTCAGGTTCTAAATCTTTAATTTGGCCTGACCTGCTAGCACTATAACTGCACAAAAATGGGTTCAGTTTGGTTGAGTTTGCGCTAGAACTACAAAAAAGTAGAAAATTTTCGAGTTCTTTATTTTTGGGCCCGGTCAAAGAACCAATATTTTCGCCTAGCGCTACTTTTAAAAGTTCTGATTTCAAGTTGGGTTCTTTTTTTTTATTTGGATTGAGTCCAAAAAATTAAAATTTCAGTGTTTTGAAACTAAACATTACATCTTCTAATTTTTTTTTTACATCAAATGCCTATTCAAATATACTAATTACAAGTATATTTTAATAATAAATATACTATCAAATATCTAAAACATGTTCAATAAAAGATAGTTCACGAAACCACATTCAAGTGATTCATATACACGTTTATAAATAATTAAAATACTCAGAAAATAACAAACAATTAAATATTTTCTAAAGAATAATTACATATTTATGACTAAAATATAAATTGTTTAAAAAATGTGACTAGTGACTATAATAGTAACTTAATCTCAGTAACTTTAAAAAGTTAAGGCATGTACAATGTGTATGTATACTGTATAAACTAAAATTAAATCTAAAATTTCTAAAATCCCGAGTGGTAAGGCCGATAATCACCGTACATTATATGGTACAGCTGGTTGTACCATCCGCACGGCACAAGCGGTGGTTCCAGTTAGTTTTATGCCCCACCCCATTTCTTGCTTGTTTGACTTTCTTCTTCTTTCGTTTTCTTTAACCACCTTTTACTTTAATTTTATATTTAATTATTATGAAAATGTATAATATAAAATATTACTTAATGTCCCATCTTTTTTCTTTTTCAAATCAACCTTCTAACCTAGATTATTTTAGTTTGTGCATTATAAAATATTTTAGGTATTGATGTTTTATTTTCTATTTTTAATTTTAAGATGAATGTTTATTAGTTTATTAAATATTTTGTATTAATTACTAACGTGAGTTTTGTGTAATACTAAAATGAGTATAGTGTAATTTAAATTTGCATGAGTAAACATTATAAAAAGAACATGATTATATTTGTAATTCAAGAATGAAAGACTATAAATTATCTTTTATATTTCTCATCATTATATATTATGATAGTTTCGTAAATTATTAATAACGAATATACTAGATGTACATATTATAGAAAAGATTTATGTTATATTCGAATGAGTATAACGATTGAAAGCAATGAACACACACAATGGATATTTGAGCACATTAGAGAGTTCAAATGAGCTTTTTAATTTTTCGATGCTCATCTTGTAAGTTACATATGCTCATCTTATGCTCATTTAAAATGCCATATCAATGCATATTTGAAAATATCATGTTACATTACAATCACATAAGAGTTGATTATAGATACGATAGCAGAGACCATGATACTCAATTGCATGCTTCTAATAGTCAATAGAGGAAGTTTGATCTCAATGAAAATGTATTGATGTTCAATTAAAAAAGTTAGACTCCTACTCAACAGAATAGGTCTAATGTTTCCTATTAGGTCTGATGGTCATTTAGCGGAAACCGTGAATTCCATTTAAATTATCAAAATGACACCGGCTATACAATGCTAACCGTACCGCTGGCTGTATGGATAACCTTCCCACAAACACTCCGAGACTCCAACCACTAATAAACTCAATCAAAAGGGAGTCTACACTCCATTGGCTACTAGGTACTCAAGTTGGTTGGAAGTATATTAATACGGAGTACATACTACTCCGTATAAAATATGTATTTTGGGCCTCAAGTTATACGTTCAACACCTAAAAACATGTAGAGCTTGTCCGGTGACTTTGTTTTTCGGCTTATCGGGCTTAACCGTCAACTTTTTAACCAAACACGTAACTTTCACTTTCACGCGCTGAATTGTGTAATAATAGAAAAGTAAGGTTGAAGATACTTTTCTGGCTGTATTGCCTGAAGTTACTCTAGCTGACAATTTTAGCTATTTTTTCATATAATATTTTCTTTATTTTATTAACTAAATTATATTTTAAATATAATTTTTTCATAAATCAACAGAATTAGCCAATACAATCACTTGAGCCAGAACTTCATATATTTCAGCAGAATCAGACGATTTCGGTGTTATCAAACAAGCTCTATTCTTAGTTTCTTAGCTCGGAGCCTCGGAGTAAATATGATTTTTTACTGTCCGGGTCGGTCTTGAGTTTTAGAACACAAACTAAGGACTCGATTGGTATATTATACATCCAGATGTACATAGGGCATCGTACATCCGGCCCATGAGAAGTATTATAATGGACTGGAGCACTATAAAACTACAGTAAATGGCCCAACTAAGGTAGACAACCCAATAACTAATATAGGCCAAAATTAATTCGGTGGCATTTTTGTAATTTAAGTGAAAAATCACGGATTCCGCTAAATGAGCAATATCGTACCTTTAAAGAGCATCAAATCTATTTTATTGAGTATTTAAGAGACTAACAATGAGTATCACGATCCATGCTTCATATCTTCTAATTCTTTTTTCTTTTTCTTATTTTTTCTTTTATAAAAACTTTTTATATTATGACTATAATACACTCCTATTAATTTTAATATGCGAGTCTAATGTAATATGATACTTTTGAAATATGCATTCATTTTAACAATTCAAAAATGAGCATAACATCAGTACCAAATGAGCATACATAACTTACAAAGCGTACATTAATATGAACATCAAAAGATTTGTTAGTTGAACATCATGACATTTTAATTGAGCTTCACACATCCGCTATGATGAGATGAAAATCATGGTTTCTTGTACATGAGCATTTATGAACTTTTAATGAGCATCGGACCTATTAAAATGAACATAAGATCAGTATCAGATGAACATATGTAACTTACAAAATGAGAATTAATGAATTTGTTAGTTGCTTTGTTAGTTGAACATCACGATATTTTCATTGGGCATCAAACCTTCTCTATTGAAATCGATGAAAATCACGAGTTCTGTTAAATGAGCATTAATGAATTTTTAATGAGCATCAGACATATACAAATGAGCACATGTAGTTTACAAGATGAGCATTGATATTAAACTTGTAAGTTTTGTTCATTGAGCATTGAGCCATTTTCAGTGAGCATCAAACCTTCGTTATTGGGTATTAGAATATGCGATTGAGTATCATGATTGTGGTCTCGTGTCTATAATCAACATCTATATAAATCTAATGTAATATGAGACTTTTGAAATATGCATTAATATAACATTTTAAAATGAGCATTACAGAAGTACTAAATGGACATACATAACTTACAAAATGAGCTTTCAAAAATTCAAAAGCTCATTTGTGCATATTCATTTCTTTTAAGCGTTATATCCGTTTGAGTTTAACATAACTCATTTCTATAATATGCACATATAATAGATTTATTATTAAGAATTGACTAAACTATTATTATACTCCGGTATATAAAAATTTGAAATATAATAAATTTTATTTTCAAAATAATTTATAACTTATCGTTCTTCAATTAGAAAATTAAGGAAAAACTGTCAAATTGGCCCTTCTACTATACAAAAAAAGTCAATTATATCCTCGTACTTTAAATTCGATCAATTGAACTCTCCAACTAATAAAAAACAGTCAATTGAGCAATTCAATCGGTAAGGAACAAGTCTTCTGGTTAACCTGCCTACGTGGAATGTCCAGATGGATATTTTTTTTATTTTCTTTTTATTTTTCTCCTTTTTCTTTGACTTTTTTAATTACTTCACATCAATTCGGAAAAAACTCAAAAAAACATAGATAATTTATTTTATAATTCACAATTTAAAGAAATATTTAAATTATAATCAAAGTTGATCACAAAAAGAAAAAAAGGAAGTAAGGTAAGACTAACATTACATAATTGAAAACAAGGGTCTAAAGCAAAATTAACGTAAAATGTCAAGCGGGCCAATTTTTGATATATGATCAGGCTAGGTAGGGCCGGTTTTGAGGTTGTGGCTCAGTTTTTCCACCATTAGATCTCGCAACCTCTTCAACCCCGTCGGTCTCCTCAGTCACTTCACTATCAAACGGCGGCGGCAATTTACTCCAGCGTCATACAGGCGTTTCGGACGCCAGGGGAGTCTTCGAGATATCTGTAGAATCGACCTAGACAAAATCTTCGCAGAATGCTTATGCGGCTTAGGGCCGGTTTGGTCCTAAAAGGGATCTAAGGGCTCATTCCCTAAAACGCTAAATCTAACCTCTCCGGAGCAAAGTATAACCTTGAAAAGAGTTGCTAGATCTTCAGGTAGATTATCTCTCTAGATTTTGACAAAGCTTGTATCAATTGTAAGAAAATGTTAAGGAAGAATGGAAGGGATCGGATTAAGGGTATATAGGCAATCTAACCACAGTTACCTACATACTACACAGTTGGTGATATTTTGAATTTCCAGCAACAAACCGGAGGCTTGCTTGGCTGAACCATTCCAAGATGTTGCGGTTATTTCTCCGAGCAGCAGGTTCGTCGCTGCCAATGGCGAAACCTCAAGCGGCCGTCTCCCACTTGCTGATACCTCAACAGCTGCTCTCTTCTCGAGCTTTTTCTGCGTTAGGCGCAAACCAAACCTTACCAAAGGGGAATAGAGCGACCTCGAAGGCAATTGAAGTCCCTGGGGGATCCTTGGAGGCCGTAACCATCAACCGCCTCAATGACGGGGCTCGCATCCGCGCTCTTGCAGAAGACGAAAAAAATGCATCTCTTGATGTTGGTCCGAATCTCCAGCCGCTCTTCACCCCAGCCAACTCTCTCTCTGAACTTAGCAAAAAAGATACTTGCACTTACATGAAATTCAGGTTCTTTTCCATATTCATGTTTCTTTATGCATATGTGTGGTAATACTCATTGAAATCTGGGTGTAGTATAGAGGAATTGGAAGCGGTGTTGCCTGAAGGACTGCCCATGGGAATGCTAAAAGAATTTGAGGATTCAAAGAGAAATGCATTGCTAATACGGCAGAGCTTTCTGGATCTTCGAGATAATTTCAGGCGGATCGTTGATCCTTCTATACAGAATAATGTCAAAGGTGCAGTCCACCCCCCACAATGTTTGGCATCATTGCTTTCTTTTAATGGAACAATACTATTAGTATGCATCCTCGGTGTAGTTAGGACTGCAAATATGCTAAAGTATTGCAAAAGATGTCAACAAATAAGATAGTACAATCGGTAACACCTTTCAAAGAGAAGAAACCGTTTGGGATAGTTCAGTTGAAGACAAAACCTATATATCCCCACAGACCATCCATGATTAAAACCCAGGACGGCAGGACCCATTAGTTTTTGCTTTTTCTAAGCTGGGATTACTTTGTGGCTGACTTTTAAATAGTGCATTCAGGATTATAGAATTGTAGTCACTTACTCGACTTTCAAGTTTCAAGTGCTGCAAGGGCCTCTCTAAATAGAGAATGCCTCTTCCCTACCCATTATCTAGTTTTTATCTTCTATCTGCAAAGGCCTGAAACTCTTCATTCTAAGTTTCTAACCGATTTTTGAACAACACTCTCTTTTGTCAGTCTCATCTCTCAAGAATGTCATAGATTGTAAACTTTACATGAGTTTATTAATGCAACAACACCCCCTCCCTAAACCCATCTAACAAAAAAAAGAATAAAACAACTACCAAAAGTTAAATTAGTTATAATGTAGTAATCGCAGTAACCCATTCATGTCTTACACATGATGAGATCCCAGTTGGCTGGCTTGCCTAGCTGCATCACATTTGTCATGGATCAAGGTAAATAATTGAATCCATTTTAAAAGGTCAATTGCTCTAAATGCCAAATAGATCCCCTGTTGACTCTTCTGCAATCAGATTGATGGATGGACTCCATATCTAGAGGATCAACCCTTCGTACACCTAAGGGGCACCCTAATGTTAAAAGTGAACACAGACCCATCCATAATTTGGGACTATTTAAGAAATTATGCCAAAAAAAGCTCTGCAATAAATTATTAATATAATCTGTGCTTCTGACTTCCGAGACAGATTTTGAACCTTGTGTGTATATCTAGATTATGGGGAGAAAAGAAATTATATAACCTTTCATCCTAAAGGCTTACAGCATACATAAATATGTAATTAACAGCCAGAAATTATGGTGTTCAGATTGTTAGGTGCTTAGCACTAAGATTTACCCTTCGATTTAAAATCCATTGGAAATGATTTCCCATTCTCATTAAAATTGTAAAACCTTGTCACTTATTTGTTGCCTGATTTTATAGTGTTGACTGTTGAGTTGTTGCATAACTTTGAACAGATGCTTGCCACTAAATCTCAAGTCACTGCCCCAACATAGTTGGAATTAAGGTGCTGATGGTGATTGAGAGTGGAAGTTGTTCAATCAGTTTATTTTATACTTGTATATTTGTTCAAAATCTGTTTGTGAAGATTAAAAAATCTAAAATTCTAAATATATATTTAAGAAAACTAATAAAAATAATATTAATTAATGTTCCCTTGTATTTTATAAAGTTAATCTAAACATTAGAAAAAAACTATTCTTAGCATTCTTTTCCTTACCCTAACATTTTCCATCATCAAAACATGCCTCTAACAAAACTAACATCTTTCGGACTAACATATCAGCAACATGTTAGAGCAAGGGACCCAGGTTTATCCAGACCTACCAGCAAGTCACAGTTAGCTATATAGAGATGTTGGAAAGTGGACTCTCTGCTATTAAAACGTAAACCACTTATTCTACCACCTGTCATTTTTTTTAAATGACCTCGATATACTCAACAATGTTGTGGGCAGTGTCAAGAAAGAAACAAGTGAATCATGACAAAAACATCCCTAAATCCTTGAAAATTTCCAAACAAATCATAAAGACTTGCTCAATCAAGACAATAACACAATCACACCTGCACTATAGAGGACTTAATTTAAATTCAACAAAGGATATTTATAACAAATTAATTCTTACCTAGTTACATAGCTTTTCAAACAAATAACCTGTCAACAAATCTTAAACAATTTCTGAGAGAGATCTCAAATAACTTTCTCAACTAGGTCTCAAGTAACTTCTAAAGAGATCTTATGTGATTTTGCAACTAACTCTCAGACAAAGTGCGCTGATAACTTTTAACTTGATATCAAATAAGTTCCTCCAGTGAGCTACATTGCCTATGATTGTATTGTAACTACAGATTCCATCTTTCCTTCCTAGGAAATTCATAATAAGCATTTGAACTGGAGACTTCAAAATCGCAAAAATAATCTTACCTTGCACTAAGAATAACTTCCAAGCAGACAATCATTTCCAATAACTCAGATCATTTATTAAAGAATTTAGTTTATAATGTAATGCTTATAATGTAATGCTTATTCTTTCCATAAATTATCCTTCATAACGATTATTAACGGATAAGCTTTTGTGATAATTGCATCAAATTTATAACCCATACTCCCTCTGTTCCAGAATAAGGCGCTCATTTTTCGTTTTGGCTATCCCACAATAAGGTCACCATTCCTGATTACTTAAAAAGTTCGTGTCTCCAAAAAAGTAGCATTCCACTTCGCTCATATTTTGTGGCTCCATAAGAATATCTGAAAAAGGTGTCAAAATTGTATTGGAACCCTATATTGGGATTAGTGAGTATTGACTATTGAGTTTTTGCTAATGGGCCCATGTCTAACAAACACAATAAGTCCATTTTGGATGTAGGGTCTCGGGAGGGTGATATGTTACAGACCTCGCCTCTACCCCTAGGAGTAAACAAGTTGTTTCTCTAATGCAAGCATTAGAAAACACACACGCAGACATACATATATAATAATATAAGAGCTACTTGTGCATTCATACTTTGAATTTGAGATTTGCATTCATTATTTTATATACTCAATTTCTATAGGATTTGTTCTCATTCAATTGTGTGTACTTTGATTGTCTCCACTTCCATCCCGTGCGAAATGTTGTTTAGGTTTTAGTGTTGCTGATCTTGTTTATTTTATACGTAGTATAACTTACTAAACTGACATATTTATTTGATTTGAATTTTTTTTTCTTTTTTTGATTGTCTACAGAAACTTGAAAAATCTATTTTTAGATGGATTTTTTCAACCCCAAGCATACGGAGTATTATTTAAAAAAAATCTAACTGTGAGATATCAGTGAAAGAATAAATGAAGAAGAAATATAATATGCTTTCGTGTGTTGTGCAATAGGTTTCTTTTAGGATTACTGGATAAGTCATTGAGATTGTATTCTTACAGGTTCTAAACCTCGGAAACAGATTGTGTTAGACGGCCCTGTTAGCTGTGGTAAAAGTATTGCTCTTGCAATGCTTGTTCACTGGGCACGTGAAGAAGGATGGTTGGTCTTCTATGTCCCAAGAGGTCGAGAATGGACTCATGGAGGATTTTTCTATAAAAGCCTTACAAGTGCTTTATGGGATACTCCTGTTCAGGCAGGAAATATTCTCCAGGCAAGGGTGCTAATCCTTCTGAGGAAGTTAATAAAATGATGTTACTAACAGCGGTTATCTGTGTTCCGCCATTTTCAATATTTAGAAATTTTAACTAGTGCACAAATATGTACTACGTGCATGCATAAAATCTTATGAGTGCTTTTTGGGATACTCCTGCTCACACATTCTCCCGGCAAGGGTACTAATCTTTCTGAAGATAAAATAAAGTGATATTATTAACCGTGTTTATGTGTGTTCCTTCCATTTCAGTATTTTAAAGTTTAACTAGAGTACTAAATCTGGTTGCTTCGACCAACATTAATGTATATGCATTTTCATTGTCTCAAAGTTTATTTTTTCAACAAACGCTATACATTAGATCTCTTCTTAGGTGATGTGTTTCACTGCAGATATTTTGTAGTTTTAGTTAAAATAAGTCAAAGGTGGCACACTTCATCTCAATGTTGTTGATGCGATGTGGCTTCCGAGTACTTATTAACTAGGTTTTTAGATGCTACTATGTATAAAACTTTCAGTATCTGCATGCACTTCAAAACACATTTGGTCCCTGAGCCCATTTTTGTTTTATTGCAGGACTTTTTAAAGTATAATGAACGACATTTGCGAAATTTGCCATGCAAAATATTTGATCCAATTTCCTTGGGAGAAGGCGTGGGCGTTGGACCGCCGAAAGGTGACATGACTATGGAAATACCTGAGGGTCATAGTCTATTTGACCTGGTTGAGAGAGGTATTAGTAACACACATGCCTCTGTTGGAGTGGTTGATCGTTTGAGGCAAGAACTGTCTCTTGTGAAAGATATGCCTGTTCTTATTGCAATTGACCAAGTAAGAAGATTATTATTTATAATTACTGAACTGCATAGCTGTTCTTTTGTATGCCTATCTTCTAGAATGATTCTCTTTTCTGCATTTAATCGGTAACGTAGTTTCTGTTGTGTGTCTTTATTTGTATGCAGTACAATAGTTGGTTTACATTCAGTGAGTATCAGGAACCAGCAAGCGTGCGTTCTTGCAGACCCATCCATGCCAAGGAGCTTAAAACAGTAAAACATCTGTGCCTTTAATTTCAATCTTACTCGAAAGAGAGTACATTAGTGATATACTTGTGGCCTAGTAGATACTTCCTCTGTCTCTTTTTAGTTGCAACAGTCAACATTTCACGTTTGCCAACGCACAACTTTGACCGTCATTATATTTAATTCTGTATTAGTAAAAATAAAATAAAAATCAGATTATAAAACTTAGTAATGAGATGAATTTAACAATATTTATAAAAAAAAACAATTCACAAACATTAATAAATAAAATGTTGTCAAAGTAAAGTACATGAATAGTGTATATATTCCAATGTTGCAATTAATGTGATACGGAGGATAGTATTATCTTGTGATAAAGAGTTGAAGTTTATTTTTACAACATTTAGTTTTTCTAGTTTGCTATTGAAAATATTCCACTTTAGGTTTCATGACTGCTAGATCATTTTCCTTTTAGTCGTTGACTTCCATTTTCCATCCCCATTGTTAATACACAACTATAGATTTATTTTCCCTTCCGATACTTTTGATCACCTGCTCAGCAAAAAAGAAACTGGAAACGCTAAGAAATTAACCTGAATTAGTAATCAGAAGGATCAAAAGGTGGCAAAAAAACCCATAACTGTGTACCAAAAAGGAGTAAAATGAATCTCGGAGAGTTGGAGACCAAGAGTGAAAATGACCTTGTAATTATGACTCATGAGACTAAAAGTGCAATATTTTCATTGTTTGTATTAATCTTATCTTGACTTTCTGCTTGCTCTAGTATGGTTGCAAGAGTGAAAATGATCTATTGAAGTGTTCAATGATAGCATTATAACTGATTAGTTGCAAAGTGTGGAGTTATAATATTTTAATTCAATGGGCTGAAATTTCTACCTTAAATTCTTCATAATACTCCCTCCGTCCCGCTAGAAGGTTCCCGTGAACGGTTTACGATGCTTGACGGACGATAAAGCAACTTAATCCCTGGTCACACTGATTATTTTTAGTAAATAAAATTAACATATTCAGAAACTACATTAAAACCGCTGCAAAGCCTGATAAAAAATTGTAGATTTGGTAAAAATTTGATTTATAAAGTAAAAGATTAAAAATGATTTAAGTTGACCATGAGAATAGTGGACGGGAACCTTCTAATGGGACGGAGGGAGTAGCAATCAGGGCATGACATGCACAATTATTTAAATTTCATTGCATAATTTGCACAGGTGCATGTCACTTATAAGAAGTGTATATGACAAAAATTTCAATATATGGAGTAATAATTTGATTAAGAATATCATGAATCATTTTGTAGGTCAATGCATTCAGATCAATGCTTCACGATGATATGATGATTGGTGTTTTCTCTCATTCAACGGCAGTAGGGAAACTGCGTAAAGACTTACCAAATGTTCCAGCTGATGCACGCTTGAATTTTCCTCGATATACTTTAGATGAAGCTGCCGCTGTTTGTTATTACTACCTCAGGTATGACCAATCCGTATGGAATTGATTGCTTTGCTGCTGACATGTTCCAGCAGATATGAAAAAACAACTAACTCAATTTCTGAGCCACACATACCTTTTACCCATCCATTTGCAGGCAGAGACTTATACGTCGTGAGTCATTCTCAGAAGAAAACTGGAAGAAGATTTACTACCTATCCAATGGAAATGGAGCTGAGATGAGATGGCTGGTACCCTTTATGAGATGACGACTTTTTATTATTAATCGTGAAAGCACACGACCAAATATTTAGTGCGGCTAATGTAACTTAAATTTTCAGATATGATTAATAAATTAACAATGTGTTGCATTTAGAGTGCTGGCTTGATCTTTTTTAGGTGAGAATTGCTTGTGCTTTGTAAAATGTTCTTCAGTCTGGTGATACTTTTACTGCCTTGAGCATTCATGATTAGCAAGTGTTTTTTTGAAAGACATTATTGCCGAGTGTTAAGGATGTGTTTTCCATCACCTTTTAACTATATCAATTGCATGGAGAGATTTGTAACTAAGTGGGCGTGTCATTCTTTTTCTTATGTTCCACATATTCATTGGGTCATAATCATGATTCTTTTTCATCGTCTAATACTTGTTTCAGACTTTCAGTTGTTTGTAGGAATGGATTCAGACTTTGACTACTCGTTATTTTGCCCGAAAAGTGGACCTGAACCGGATAACTGGCCATTTCGGTTTAGGTTCTCCAAAACCTGACCTGGATTGGAAATTGGAATCAATCGAAGAACTGGAACCTGGTATACCACTATACCTTATACCCTGTGAATTTTTTGATTAACCCTATTACCGTATTACGTTAACCAGGCTGGAGTTGGACTGGGCCACCCTACGCGTAGCTCAAAATTTATGGTTGAGTTGCATACTTGCATTAACACATTCTGGCATTCTGGGCAAACACTTGAATTAACACTTGAACTCAACGCTAAAAGGAAGAAGAGATATACCTAGTCATGGACTTGGGCCCGGGCCGGGCCTAGGCCCGGGCCGGGCCTAGGCCCGGGCCGGGCCTAGGCCCGGTCGGGCCTCTTATTTTTAATACCTGGGCCCGGGACTGGCCGGAGGTAAGAACGGTTCCGGTGCTTGCCGAGCCACCCGCCCGGGTCACAGGTCGGGCCACCTGCCGGGCCCGGTAATTTTTTTTAACTTATTTATACTTTATAGTTTTATACAAGTATTAAAAACAAACTTCAAGACTTCAAGTGTATTTATTTGAAATGAAATAGGAACTACATTTGACAATTGAGAAAAAAAATACAATATGAAATACATTTTGTAATCAATCGGAATTTTCTGGTCCTTTGATTTTGTCACATGACTTAATATGCTTCTTGGTCATCCTGTATCCGCGTGAAACCCTCAAGCTACACTTTTTCCCGCACCATTTGCAAGTTGCGTACCACATCCCAGACGGCCAGACCCGATGGGTTTCCGATCCGAGCTCGGGTTACCCAAAACAAGGCCCGGGCCTGATTCGGGCCAAATTGATTTTTTTTTTGGTTTTTTTTCATTTGTTTGGGCTCCACCCGGGTCGGGCTTGATGTTTAGGATGGGTTTGGGGGATTTGGGGGGTGGGGGTGAGGGGGGGTCAGGAATGGGTAGGTAAGCAAAAAAAATAAAATAACTAAACCTGAGGCTCGGCCTGGCCCGGAACCTGGTATACCTTATACCCTGTGAATTTTTTGATTAACCCTATTACGTTAACCAGGCTGGAGTTGGACTGGGCCACCCTACACGTAGCTCAAAATTTATGTTTGAGTTGCATACTTGCATTAACACATTCTGGCATTCTCGGCAAACACTTGAATTAACACTTAAACTCAACGCTAAAAGGAAGAAGAGATACCTAGTCATGGACTCGGGCCCGGTCAGGCCTCCGATTTTTAATACGTGGGCTTGGGATTGGCCGGAGGTAAGAACGGTTCCGGTGCGGGCCGAGCCACCCGCCCGGGTCACGGGTCGGGCCACTTGCCGGGCTGGGTATTTTTTTTAAACTTATTTATACTTTATAGTTTTATACAAGTATTAAAAACAAACTTCAAGTGCATTTATTTGAAATGAAACAGGAACTACATTTGACAATTGAGAAAAAAAATACAATATGAAATACATATTGTAATCAATCGCAATTTTCCGGTCCTTTGGCTTTGTCACATGACTTAATATGCTTCTTAGTCATCCCGTATCCGCGTGAAACCCCCAAGCTACACTTTTTCCCGCACCATTTGCATGTTGCGTACCACATCCCGGTCCTCGGGTCTTTTTGGCATCGATATCATAGATCGATTCATGTTAGCCGACCCCAAATTCTTTTGGGATTAAGGCTTGGATGTTGTTGTTGTTGTTGAACGGCATATTGATTTTCCATCTTAAAAATGGTAGATATAATAATTCTATAAATACTAGAATAGATGGAGATGAAGATGAAGAATGCAGATTGTAGATTGGATATTGGAGAAGATTTGTATAAAATGTTAGAAAATAGGAGTATTTATACAATTTTTTGTACCCTCACTCCCCACCCCACCCCACCCCTGGGACACCCTTGATTGAAGCACCCAACGGCTATATAGCTTGAATAAATTACATAATGTAAAATTAATTAATTAATTTAATGAATTAAGTAGACTTGGACTCGGGCCGGGTGGCTCGACCCGGGACCGGTACTGTTCCGGCCCGGCCCGAACCGGTGGCCCGGTCAGTGACCGGTCTGGGTAGGCCCGACCCGATGGGTTTCCGGTCCAGGCTCGGGTCACCCAAAACAAGGCCCGGCTGGCTGGGCCGGGGCCCGGGGCCAAATTGATTTTTTTTTGGTTTTTTTCATTTGTTTGGGCTCCACCCGGGTTGGGCTTGATGTTTAAGAGGGGTTTGGGGGGTTTGGGGGGGGGTCAGGGATGGGTAGGTAAGCAAAAAAAAATAACCAAACCCGAGGCCCGGCCCGGCCTTGCCCGGACCCGGTGGCTACCCGGGCCGGTCCCGGGTCCAGCTATTCATAACCGCCGGCCCGGGCCTGACCCGGCCCGAGTCCAAGTCTAGAATTAAGTAAAGCTATTTTTACTTAGAAACTAAAAAAAGTAGTTTGATTTAGAATTTATAAATGTCACGAAATATGTGTATTTATACAAATTACATATTTTAAACCTAATTTTAATTTAAAAACAGCTTTAGACAAAATAAATTGTAAGTTTTAACCAATTAATTAATTTGAGAAGTGCTACATATAAAAAAAATGAACGTATATTTATTTGAAATATGATCTACAAGTTTACAAGTTACAATTGAGAATTGAAGGAAAAATTAAAACATGAAAAACTATTCAATCGGAATCTCCGGCATAGGTAGAGCCACCATCGGTTGTTGATTCATCCATAAAGTGTTGGGATGGGTGATGGCAATTTCTTGAGCTCTACGGGCCGTCTTCAACCAATCGTGGTAGCATATAAGCGTCTCAAGAGATTATGCGCTCAACCTCGTTCTAGATTGCGTTAGGACATTGTCGGCCGAACTAAATTCTTGTTCCATGGCAACTGTTGAAAGCGGCATTGATAGCATTTGCTAAAACAGGGAACATTCTTTCTTTTCCTTTCCAGCAGTTTAGAACGTCAAATTCATCATCTTCTTCAAAATCAACATCATATGTTAAATACCAAGAAATCTCATTAATTGTGCTTTGTTGAGTAGCGGGAGTTGTTTTAGTTTTTTTAATAAAATTGGCAAATGTAGATTAGAAAATTGATTTTCCTTTAGATGAAGATGTTTGTGTCGGGAGAGGGCGCGCGTTGCCATATTGTGCATGAAACTCATGAAATAATGCATAAAATATGTCACTAACCTCGTTGTATTCTTTTTTCTGATCAATTGCGTTATCGTCATACATTGGAAGAGGACCATAAAAAGCTTGATAATAATACTTTAAACATTCTTCTAAAGAAACAAGTCTAAAACGAGGATCGAGAACAAATGCAATATCATAAATATGTGGAATTTGTGCATAATATTTTAAAAACGCTTCCTTCATAAATCCAGCAAAATAACTCACATAAGCAGCATTCTCAAATTTTGAAAAAGCACCGGCGGGATCTCTTCCTCGCAAGCTCGTTCATTCTGTTGCGGTCAAGGTTACCCATATCAACCGAATATCTACCACCTTCCATCTAAAAAATGTAACAAATAGTAATTTATAAAAATAATTCGAACTAATGAAATAAAATTCTAACAATTCTAACTTTAATGAAATAAAATTCTACCGATTCTAACTTTAATGAAATAAAATTCTAACTTTAATTGAGTAATGAATTAACTAGTTTTTTGTACTAGTTATTTGAACTAATCAAAAGTATTTTTTAATAAATACTTAAAACTAACAATTAACTAATTTTTTGTACTAGTTATTTTATGTACTAACAATCAAAGTATTATATAAAATGTACTAATTCGTACTAAAATGTACTAACAATTCAAACTAAGGATATAAAATGAACTATCAAACTAACAATTTTATAGCAAAAATTGTAATGAACTAATTAACTACTTTAATGAAAAATGTAACAATTCGTGGGAAAAACAAATGGGAGTAATATAATGAATTTAACTAATATTAATATACTAATTAAGTAGATATAAGTAGATAATAAGTAGATAATAAGTAGCGATTAAGTAGATAAGAAATATAAGTAGTATAATATATGTATTTATAAATAGATTATTAATATATAAGTAGATAAGAAATATAAGTAATATAATGGAAAATGCTTAGTGTACATGAGTTGTACACAAACTGTACACAAAACCTCCCTAGTTGCCTGTGTACATAGGCAATTCATTTAAAAAAGAGCAGAATTTGATACCCAATTGCCTGTGTACACAGACAATGTACACATTTTGTGTACATCTTGTGTACACCAAGCATTGCCCTAATATAATATATGTATTTATAAGTAGATAATTAATATAAGTAGATATATACTCCGTAATATATTGGAGAATAAGATAATTTGAGAAGATGAAGATGAAGATAATTAGAGAGTAGAGAGTAGAATTTAGGAAGAGTTGGAGAAGAGATATGGAAAAATGTTTAAGATTAGAAGTATTTATAGTTTTTTTTACCCCACCCCCACCCTCCCCCACCCCCAAACTGCCCGGCCCCCCTGCCAGCCCACCCAACGGCTATATAGCCGTTTGGGTAATCCCAGCCCAGCCTAACGGCTCTTTTGACCCAAAACAAAAAAAAATTGACCGTTATGACCCGGGCCCGACCCAGCCAGGCCTGGTCACGTTTTGCCGGAACCGAGCCCGCCCCCCGCTCCCCCCAGTTCGGGTCTACACCCAGTCCCGGACCGCCAAACCGGGTCGGTTCTGGGCCCGCAAAGTAACGGGCCGGGCCGGATCACGAGCCGGGTTGCCCGAATCGAATCCACCCCTACATATACGAGTTTACCATATATGACCATCTATTAGTATTCACTTATGGTGTGACAGTTGGCTCTCAATTC